TGTCTGTGAAAAGCAGTGTTGTGTAAATAAGTTAGAACAACGACCAAGTGGTGTTGTACCAATTGTGACCGTCTGTGGAGTACGCTGTATAAGTCAAAAGGGTTTGCCTACCGAAACTTCAAATCCAGGATCAAATGAAAGCTCGAACGGTCTGTTTGGCGTTACAACAGACTTGAATATGATAATGCTGGCCTGATTGAATCCTATAGGGAAGAATAAACTATTTACTTAGAATGAATAGATGTCATTGCAGAGATTACACACCATTGCAAACATCCTCAATCAGAGCTTACCTAGCAGCAATAGCACGAGGAGAAACGTGTGAGTCATCATTTTTGGCTGTGCTAAAATGAATAGTGTTAGGTAAATTAAACATCAGGTCATTTTGTGTATGTTTATTGGTGCTAAAATGACCTCCTCATTTGTACAAAAATTTAGTTTTCATAAAATGTCAGCTAAAATTCTGAAATATGGTTTACATTCTAACACATCAATTGAGTATGGTTGTAAAAGTTATTACTATACGACCTATTTCAATCAGCTCAAGATGCCGGATTTTGACCGAGCTCCCTTTTGCTCACCAACAGAAATGGCTACTGAATAAGAATGCCTTTAATAGTTGATTTTAACCACCCTTGTAAATTTAAATAAATGTCAAATAAATAAGCAATCATATGTTTTTTTCCTTTTACTTAGTTGATAACAAATAATGTCTTCCCAAATTTTCATATTTAAAAAGATATCTTTCAATTTCAAAATATTTGTAAATGGATGAGTAAATTTTACCTTAGCAGCCTATACACTTGAATTTATGAACTTCAAAACATGTGGTGCATATATTATGTCTGAAGACAAGTTAATATTTGCCTAAAGTGGGAGGAAGACTTCATAAAGTTCTCACAAAGGACTAATATCAATGTGGACTCAGTTGTATAATGTATAAGCAGAATTAAAAAAAGTGAAAATACGTTGATATATGAATGCACGTTTCATGGTCTTAAGATCATCTATAAGTAAATTTTCTGAATTCGAAGCGAACTTTCCCTTCAAGCATGTTAATGAGGATGTAATTTTGTATAACATGAGTACAAGAAACATAATTTGCGCCTCTTTTCTAAGAAGTATATTCGAATATATTTGGACAGTGGAAACCGATGAAGAAAAGGCCTAGTGGACGTTTCAGCCTTGTTATTAATCTGATTGCAGGAACTGAAAGGTGCAAAGGTACATTTTATAAACATCACATTATTTTGCATATATTTAGGGGGGGGGAGGGCAGAAAGGCTGGACCTATACATTTACAATGATTTCATTCATTTTGACCAAACGCAACAAACACAGTTTGAGCGAAAGCTCACCTTGATGCGAGATGTCCGTTTACACAAAGAGTCAAATCTCAGAACGAGAGACGGTCTCGTGTAGCCAGAGGTTGCTTGGCTTCTTGGTGAGTGAGGTAAGACGGGGACCACAGCCGGTTTATATATCAGATTTTTTCTTTCAGGGGGCGTCAAGAAATCGCATCACTGAATCATCTTCTCATGGTGGCACCACCCCTAGCCAATTAGTCGTGTCATAGGTCCGACCTGCCACGTGTGAGCCGCAGCAATAACGCATCGTAGGCGATGGTGGGACGCTTAAGGTCACAAATTTAGCTAAGCCTGCCCTCTTGAATGCTATCATGCTTAAATCTCAGGCCTCTGCTTTTCTAAAATATGCTTTAGTACGTAAGACTTAATAGACTTCCAAGTAATCACAATTACAAGTTAGCGAATTTCAATGATACCTAACGAGAACACTTCGCCCTTCACTACCCATTGAGGGTTTAAATGCACTTTATTTACAAATCGCAAGACATAGTTTTGTGAAATGTACCAAAATTCACTCAGAAGCCAAAAATGGCAAACAACACAGACAACCAAGAATGGAAGCTGCAAACGAAATTTGATAAGAAAATCAGTCGGGGAAGAAAATATCCACGACGTCTGCCATCACACTTTTTCAGTTCTGAAAATTGAAAATTGTAAATGCTTACGGCATTGTGTTGCAGTATTGTCGATGATGGTGAATTTTCCATAACATGTAGACACAAGCGTCTAATAGCAGAAAATACCTCTTAAAAAGCAGGCCGAGTAAAAGTTTTACAGCAGAATATATATTTAATTCAGGCGACTGCGAAATACTTTTTTTTGAAAAAGTGTCCAGTGCTTCCAATAAGCTCAAAAATGATATTTAGACTGAATGCCGCGTTAAAAAACTGCGCAAGTGTACAATGAGTGATACGTGTATTTTTCGCAAACATAATATGCTCTTTCTATTTTTCTAAGGTTGCTCCGATCAACGGACGGTAATCAATTAAATGCCAACTGCCGAAGCGTTTTTCTTGTATACGAGTTCCTGCCTGAGAACTCTATCCACCTCCCGCTAGGACTATTATCTGTCTTCTGTCCGGCTCCGGTTCCTGCAAAGGTTGCTCGACAATAATTTGTTTTTTAAGTGTGTTTAGTACCGATCTCCGTTTAATACAGATTTGGCGAGAAGCAAAGAATTGAAGCACGGCAAAGATTTGATCTGAGTGTTCTTTAAAGACTTTCATGCGAGACTTTGCAAGAACCGTCAGAGGATCGACAAAGAGAAGGTAGAGTACTTTGAGTTCATGGGCAAGAATGGTACAAACCTGCTCCAGCAGAGGGTGACCGAACGAGTCTACGACCACTAAGCGGAGCGACCACTGGAAATCAAGTTTCACAAGTTACCTCGTCCAAATTCATCCAAGGATGACAAACTGGTGCACAACCTGTCATCAAAGAAGCTGACAGATGAACAAATGCAGGTGTTAAGGCATGAAACTCCATTCAAAACAGCTGATGCTAGACCGGCTAACATGGTCGCTGCAGTATAATCAATTCTCAACCAAACAGAAGTGACTGACGAAATGAAAAACCTCATACGTCCCCAGATGTTGTCCATCTTCATGGCACATAGACCACGCGACGCTCTCTCCAAGGTCGAACGTAAGGGACTTATAAAGCTCAGAGCTGACAGTGACTTCTTTATCGTGCCGGCGGACAAGAGGCTTCCAATTTCGCATTGGATAGTATAGACTACATTAACAAAACCCAAACTTTCATAGACGATCTTCAGTCCTACGTTCCATGCAAGTCCACCCCCATAAAACTCTTAAACTCGAAATCAACACAACGCTGCTGGCAATGGAGAACTCAGGTGCAATATTAACAATCGACTGACGCATTGCGAGAGCGCAAGAAACGACCCTGGCCCGTTTCTACCGTCTCCCGAAGTTACACAAAGAGGCCACACTCCTCCGGCCAATCGTATCTCTCAAAGGATTTCCAACCTACCAACTAGAAAAGTGGCTGTTCTGACGGCTCAAAATGCATGACCGCTAATTCAGACACAATAGTCAGCTCTTCAATATAATTCTTGGAGAAACCGAAAAAGATAAGCCTCCAGTTAAATGATAGCATGGTTTCCTTTGATTTTACGTCCCTTTTTACTTCTATTCCACAGTACCTGATCGTGTATACTGTTCATCAACTCCTGAGAGAGTAAAACGATGAAATTGAGAATCGCCTCGAGCACGCCCAAATCCTCCAGCTCCTAAAGTTCTGCCTCAAGACATACTTTTACTTCAAAGGAACTTTCTACGAGCAGGTGAAGGGCACGCCCATGGGTTCGCTCATTTCCGGACTCATCGTAGAGGCATTCCTGAAACGGTTGGAGTCGCACGTTTTCCAACACCACGGAGCGAAATCCTGGGCTGCGTATGCGGACGACACCTTCGTCGTTACTGAGCAGGATCAGGTGCTGGCATTTAAGGGACGTCGAAATGCCGTCTTCTCGGAAATTCAATTTACGACGTAGGAAGAAGAGAACAACCAGATGGCGTCCTTGGATGTCATTGTTTGCCACAAACACGTTGGTGGCCTAAAAACTTAAGTGTTCTAGAATGCAAACAACACTATGCAAGTCCTGAACTACAATAGCAACCACCAAAACGGTCACAAACGCGGCAACATAAGAGCACCTTACCGGCGTATTGAGATGCATTGAGAGCAAATGTTTACCCGCACAATTTTGTCAACCAATACATACGCAAACGAGATAAGAAGCCACATCAAACACCCAAAAGTTTGGCGACCCCCTCCGTACGTGAAAAATGTATCGGAAGTGGTCAGCCACCCACCTACTCCACTTGCAGTTGAAGTTGCGCACAGGCCAGAAGCAACAATCAGGCGCTGGATTATGAGGCCAAACGATCCACTGCCACGGCAAGAAACGGCTAGAGGCGTTTACCGAATACAGTGCAGTTGTGGACAAGACAATTACGTCGGAGAAACCAGAAGAGTACTCCAGACTCGAATGACAGAGCATGCAATGGCGGTGAGAACGAAAGACGCCAACTTTCAAGTTGCAGCTCACTTGACGGGTCCCGGTCATATTTTAAAGTTTGACGAGGCCGAAATTCTCGGAGGAGGTGATAACAGCGTGAGCCGCGAGCTGCTGGAGTCGTGGTTCCCAGGCCCTCAGTCTTTCAACAAGCGCAACGATTTGGCGTTCCCATACGGTTTACTGAGATGTTTCCTGAGCAAGAGAACCAGTCGCGTGGGAAGAGTCGGTCGTAGCAACAACTCTGACGACAGCGGACATAATTGTCACGTAATTATGCGGCCCGCATACGGCGCTGACTAGACATTTTTGGCAATTATTGTGTCGAACGCGAAGTTTCAAGCCAGTACGGCATCACGTAAGACCCAGGCTGTGGTTATAGAAGTGACTAATTATCGCACGCCCGCGGATGACCACTACGAACTATAAATACCGTGCAACCTGTGTATGTGTCAACCCTATCTGCGCATGATTATGATTATGTTACCACCATATATGATTAAGCATTCCCGACGGAATCCGAAAAGACAAGAAAATAAAACTCTTGTTCCAGTGATCGCATCCTCTCCTTCTAAACCGCTTCCTGGAACTCGCATATTAAACACTATTGAATAACGTCACTGCAACACGTGTAGGATTTTACATAACCTTGGACCAGTCTTGCTCGTTGTGTGTGAGATCCGGAGGATGTGATTTTGGATAGTTTTCCTGTTATACCGAAAGCACAATGTTTCAAGTTTTAGAGGGAATGGTCAGCACGATTATAAGCCTTAGTGAAATCGAAATATTGTAGCATGTGTGTTGAGACCTGCCATGTCGCGCTACAAAGATATGCCCATCCCTGCAATAGCTCGGGCTTATTAAGGTTGAGACCGTCTATGATTCATTGAGGCCGACGATAGTCACCAACAACCATAACGACGCGTTTGTAACAAGAAATGTGAATCACCCTAGGGCAAAGACCCGAAGATAATTTTGGAAGAGTTCGAGCACAATGGTGTGGTCTTCCCGTTTGTATGGATAGACAGCTCTCCGATCGTCAGCATAAGTGAAGGGCCTTCTCTCCCGATATAAATCGGGAACATCACTGACAATCCGGTAAAATAAGAGAAGGCCGGGCACGCTAACTTGAATGACTTCCCTGCAACACGTGTATGATTCGTCATAACCTTGGGAATTCTTTCTCGTTATGAGTGAGAGCCGGAGGATGTGAAATTCAGTTTTATCCCGTTATTTCGAAGTGAAAAGTTTTAAAATTAACAGGGGATGCCTCAGTGAAATCAAAATACACTACATTAACTGCAAATTCACCCTTTCTCTATTTTAGAACAAGGTCAACCGACGGCGGCTGGCAGATCTAACGTGATCTTCTTAGGTATCCATTCTGAGCCTCACTCAATAATTTTTTTGTTTGTTAAGTGACCCATCATGTTGATCTTCATCAAGGCTTTCAATATCTTTGAAACAGCGAGTCGTATATGCACTGGCTTAGAGCTGCCAAATGCCGTAGGCAGGTTGTGTTCGATGACAAGCGGCATGTGCAATCTCTTACACAGGCCGGAATATTTTTAGTTTTCAAGGTAAAACAGCTGTGAAAGAAGGGCGGACAATTATAATCTGCACCAGCCTTCAACGTTCTGACCCGAACGCCATCTCATCCAGGTCTATGAGACT